TGAAAATAGTCTATGTGTGTGTGTGCATTGATGTATATCGCATGAGAAGAAAGGGAGTAGTAAGAAAGGTTTTTGGAAAAATGGGTATTCCAATGTACAGCGCATTGAGCTTTTTTTTGGAAATGCGCAATATAAATTTTATATATTATTATTGTTATTATTATCCTAAGAATTAAGTAGCGGGATAGAATAAGAAATGAAGAGCTGTGGGAAAGGACAGTACAAAAGGATATAGATAGAAGTAGAAATAGGACTAAGAAAGTGGCGTTGGATGGGACACACCTTCAGAAAGCCCAGTGGAAACATCACATGACAGTCGCTGCAGTGGAACCCATAGGGAGCACAAGGCAGGGGTAGGCCACATGCACAGGAAACATAGAGGAGATGGGTGGAAAGGGTCTTGAGAGAGTTGAAGCTCACTTGGAACAAGCTAGGAAGGATGGCCCAGGACAGATAAATGGATGGAGCTTGTATGTGGCCTATACCCTGCCAGGGGTGAAAGGCATTGATGATGATGAAATGAGGTAGTAGTAGTGAACAGAAATTAAATGCTTGCTACTACTGCAGCTGCATTCATTCATTGTGCAGCGTAAGTAGGCGTCACTTGATACCTAATTTCACATACTCATGGCTCCAGACCAAGGCACAGACTGAGAGCAGCACACACACATACACACACACATTTTTTTCATGGCTCTCTGTGTTTTTTTAATTTTTTAAATCAAGCTGTATGTTATTTATTATTACTGTGATTGTGTTATTTGGGCTTAAATAGTGTCTGACACTTTGAAAGAAGTGGATTATCAATCTGTCAAGTCTTGTGCACTGTGCACACCAGTGTTCTGTGAGGAGATCGGACAATCAACATGTTTGTAATACTTACGAATGTACGTATTTATCTTTTCACTTTGTCTTTTTATATAGTGTTTGACTGGCTTTTTAGTTATGACACATCCTTTTTAATCTGAGTGACCTCATATGGTCACGGCTAGGTGGGTGGTTGGCGGGTGCTCTGGTGTGGTTTGCTTCTTCTTTCCATCAGACATCTATCGTCTTTATTTCCCCTCCTTCTTTTTCTTGTTTTTTACTCTCTTGCAACGCCTCTAATCTTTGGCACTTATATGATCTTATTGTGTTGCAAGTGCCGTAAAACTCTTGCTAAAACTAAAACTCATGGCTAGTCCCACCTTTTTTGTCCTATTCTTAATTAACTCCCCATGGTGAGCAGGGGTAGCAATAACACTTTCCTTCAAATAAAGAAATACACGCTCACACAGTGCTCAGAGATCATATGAATGGTTATACAAGTTTAAATATTCCTGCTAATGTCATAAATAAGTTTTAACAATTTGATTACTAAAGGGGGCGAGTTCAGTATCAAATTTTCTGCATATATATAGAGAGAGTTGTGAAATCATTGGGGGTGTAAATTCCATTGCGTCCATACCATTCAGTACCCAGGACGTTGACATCTATATTTGTAGATTCTGTAATGAAACAATGACCCATAGGCCGAAGGCAAAACCGACGCCAGAGGGATAACCAAGAAGTTCGTCTAGTAAAAAAAACCCCACTGTCTACCATGCATATTATATGATGAAATCGGCAGAACTAGGATTACTTTTTGCTATGAACAAATTTCAGGCTTTATAAAAATATATAAAAACGGGTGGACGATTGGGTCAAAATTTCGCTTGCAATTGTCCCCTTTTGACATGCCATCATGCACATCGGGTTCATAGTTGCTAAGATTTGCAAATTTGGGGTTTTTAACATTGATATTGATAATGCATCCACCTCTGTTAGGATCAGCTGTTATTCCTCGACTGAAAAGCCTTTCCTCTCTTCTTTTGTTATGCCATGATCCACTCTCAACTGAATCTTCATTTTAATTTTTTGCCGAAGTTGCGGAGTGTGTAATCTCTGTTGAAAAGGACGCGCGCTTACATCTGTGCAACAATACCAACAGACACAGCTGAAGTGAACGTAGGCTATTTGCCACTGAATCGAACGCTACTGTTGCGCATGCGATTCTTTGTCCCGGGGTCTAGGCTAACAGAGAGGTCGAAGGTCTACACCCAGATCTAAGATTATTGTTTAGCCTTTTGCTTACACTCAGTCCGCACCCGTTTTTTAAAAATCACTTTTTTCTTCTCCAGTACTAATTCGTTACGTATGTGCGTTCTGGACTTTAATAGGTGTGCATGTTCTGAGCGGAGTGTATTGTTTTAATATACAAGTAAGATCCATAAGTACCTGAGTGATGAATGTTTGCGTCACAACGATGTCACTGTTTTGATAACGTGTTGAAACAATTTGTGGAACTAAAGAGAAGGGAAAGAAGGACCTTAAATGTGTCAGCTTTTATTAGACAATCGAACAAAGTAGATTCTAGTTGTATCAATCGATGATCACTTATTATGTCACTTAACGACTGACCCACAACGCGGAGCTCAATTGCGTGCCTTAAAAAGCGTGTTCATGTATTGTGTTGTTTGGTCGGCCACTAAACCGTACTAACGCCACACCTACCCCCACCACCCTAACACCCCACTCCTCTCCCTTCTCTTTCCTTTCCATCCACTTCTCCGTCAAGATTGCCCTCGCGTTATTATTGTCGTGGCATCACGTCGCTTCTGCTGGCAGCGTTTATCGAGGAGCTGATGCGCTTGGAAGTCGGCGTTATTTGAAACAAGTGGAGGCTGGGTATTGGAGGGGGGTGCTAACCCCCCCCCCCCCACCCCTAACCACCAGCTGTGTTTTGCTGAACTTGAACTTCATGGCAGTATAGGTCATGTATTGATCCCTTTCATAGGGCCTTAACAAAACTAAATGCACTCACAAAATAAAAAAGCTCAGAGAAGTTTATTGCCCTTGGCTCAAACTGGGTTCTTAGAAGAATTGCAATGTTTAAGATTGGTTTGAGACATGCAGATTGTAAGTTAATAAAGAAAAAAATTCAGTTCACGAATTATGCATTTGGCAGAAGTGGTTCTTAGTAAAGTTTTTATGCCGCTCACAACTGCATAAGGTCATATGAGCGCCAAGGGGTGGATGTCAATGTTGACAGAGAAGTTTATCAGGGATTCGGGCTTACTCTGCTCACCTCTTTAGCTTCAACAGCACAGTCTACTTTGACTATCAAGGCACCCTGGAAATAAAGGGTCACAAGAGTGTGACAAACTTACCCCAAAAAAATAAAAATATAGGAAATATGATGATAGTAATTAAGTAAGGATTAGGAATGAAAAAGCAGCAGTTCCCTGTTGCAGTTCAGGCACAGTTATGAGCATGACATTGAATTGATGTATCAGCCCATTTGCAATTCTACTGTGCAAAGGAACATTATATTAATATCCCCCCTAGACACTTCAGTCAGTAGCACTGCCCTGGGGGGTAAACTGGTTCTTAGGCGGAGACAAACTATAGTTAAGTTTGAAAAAGTTCCAAAATGTATTTTTCTGTGAATTATGATTTTATTGAACAGTTTACTCTAGATAGTAAAATGCATGCACCATTTTTGTATAAAATGCCTGAAAATGCCATCAGTTTTTTCCAAGTTATTTTATCCTGCGTTTTATTTTGTGAGCTCTGCACGTCAGTGGTTTTGTCTGATTCCTACTTCTCATCAGCGCAGCTCATCCTCTGTAAGATCGTCCTTTCATTTCTTAGTTCTTTGTTTTCTCCTTATGTTGTTTAGAAATATAAACACTTGGGAAGGTGGTATTGCTGAATGTTTGTGAATTGTAACTTATTCCCCCCCCCCCCCCCCCCCCCGGTTAACCTGTAAATGAACTTGACTTGAGTTAGACCTTAAATTTGCTCAAGCTTCATGTTGGTAACTGATTTAAAACATGAAGCTGTTGGTATGGGGTTGTTTGACATGTTCAGAAAAACATGGCATTGTATATAATTGTTGGTATGTAAAGATGAGCTCACTGGAATGTCTTGCCAAATATACCACCAGTTCTGACAGACTTTTCTTTAAACATTTTTTTCTACTAATAGAGTTTTTAAAAAGTATGTGGTAAGTATTCAGACAATGTAGGTTTAAGGGCACTATATTGTTTACCTGCAAGGCTTTCTTATTTGTGTAGATTTAGGCTGTACAGTTGAGACTTTTTGGTGCTGAAATTGTAGCCTGTTTAATAAACAGTAAGCTAGTTTGTAATGTGCTTTGGTTTGCTTGTCTACTTCTTTCTCTGCATTAAAGACACTTTTCTCCCTTTGGATGCCCATAGTTTACTATATGATCTTTAGCTCCTTATTCAACATTGACATGTCTGTTAAGAGTAAGAGACATCTGTGACATGAATTCTCTAATTTTTTAAATTTTGTGTTCATGGCAACAGATGGAGAGATCAGAAAAAAACAAACAGTGTTTTTCATGTCAGACTCATACTGTGGCAATAGAAACATCTGCATTGGCATTTTTAACAGTGTATTCTGTTTGTATAGCCTGTTGAAATTGTCTAAGACTGCCACTCATTATTGCGTAATAAAGTAGCAGTTATCTTAGACAGTTGAATGTCTTGGACAATGGTATTATATTGTTTAAAGAAATGTTAGGTGGGTAGTGGTTGTTTGTAATGTGATTGTTTTGAGCAGGTGGCTATTAGTCTATTAGATCAAGTTTGACTGCATATATTATGTGCTGTTTGAAAAGATGTTCTACTGATTTGGAAGGAGGATTGAATTGAGTTCCATATGTTTTGACAGCAGCAGTTACTAAATATGTCCTGTTTCCTGAGATAGGCAACATTTTTAAAAATCAAGTCTCAACTGTCCTAAGAGAATGAACTACATAATGAAAAGTTCTTAAGTGTCATCATTTTCATGACAGAATGCTATGTGCTACTTTTTCATCCAAAAAGAAAAAGTCAGATTGACAGGGAATTTTTTTCAAATATGAACAACTCATTATGTGTCCTTTGATTTTGGTTGTTTGGTTTTGGTTTCTTTGTTGTTCTGATGAAGTTCTGTTTGTGTTCTCTCTTCAGTACCCCATTTGACCGGCTTCCAGAACTGGGAGGTCAGGAGGTGGACCTGTACTATCTGTACCAGAAGGTGACAAGTCTGGGAGGCTGGCAAAAGGTAAGTTCATCAAGACACTTTATGAATGCTCTACATATGGGAAGGAAGTATTTGCTCTGTCCTATAACCAAGGCGTTCATCTTGTTTCCACTGTAAAGAAAAAGTATGTTTTGTTTTATAAATTATCTTTGGTGAAATATAGATTCAGCACCTGTCTTGTAATTTTGTCATTATTTTAATTGAATTATAATGATTGTATATCATTTTATGGTTTATGCATTCTTAATTTTTTCAATGACTGATTTTTATATGAGGATAAAGGGGATGGCCTTGAATTATAATTTGTATTGATAAGAAGTAATTTTGAGTCAAAGAACACTGTTACAAAATTAAGTACTTTCCCTGAGATGATGTAAAGAACACTTCACACCTTTATTAACAATACATTGGGTACCAGTTCAAGCTAGAAACAATTACAAAATTGTTTGTCATAAGTTCTTGAACAACAAAGTTTCACGATATGTAAACACCTTATTGAGTCATGTGTGTACTATCAAGACATTTGGGTTCTGTGTACAATGTTCTGAGAGTGCCCACAGAGAATTTGGCAAGCTGGGTGGAAGACATTTTTTTCCCCTCCTGTTGGCCAAAAATTTGGAATTCCGTCCAAGAGATGCATCTTAAGATCATAGAGTGTAAGAAGTTTAAAGACACATCTGTACAATCTTTAATGCTATCCTCTGCCAGCAAGTATTTTTATGAGGATGTGTGAGGGTCTGTCTGTGTGTGTGTGCGCGCATGAGTGAGACTTTGTTGTTGGCCATTGTCAGTTGCATCATACTGAAAAAATGTGCACCGTCTGTTTTCTTGTACAGTTTCTCATGGATTTGCTGCTACTGTAGAGAATTTATAATGAACTTTTGTGACTGGATTTGAGATTGATGAGAGCGAAGCCTATAAGTCTATTCGAAGAGGATTTTTTGCTGCAGGTTTACTCTGAATAGCTTTAATTGATTGAACGCAGAAAAGCGTGTGTGAAGGGTTTTAATGGGGTTTTTTTCTGATGAGAGCCAAAAAAAACTGAATGTTCTCACCAATAAAACAACATGATATGCTTTAAATTTAAAGATAATAAAGACATTTTTTTATCAGCCATGTATTCTTAAAAATATTGATTTGGAGTGTTTGTAAACCATGTTTTCTTGGTAACAGTGTTCAGTTTTTTGGCTCTCCTGTAAAATTGTCAATACTGTATATTATATTGTATTCTAAAAAATGAGGACAGACTTGGCAAATGCTCATCTTCTGGACCCACTGCTTTTGTAGAGTCTGTATTTTGATGTTGGAAATTTGGCAACTATGCATAAACCCTGCTCTGCTCGTTGTAGTCTGTCATGGTTCCTACTTTTCTTTTTCTGATTGATAAGTTGAGGATCATATATAATAATGCCTGTTTTGCCCACTGTGTTCAGGTGAACAATGAACAGCTGTGGGAAGACTTCCAGGAAGAGTTTGGACTTCCCCGTGCTTGTGTCAATAGTGCTCAAGTGTTGAAGCACATTTACTTCAGGTAGCTATGCCTCTTTGTGACTTGCTTGTTCTTACAGTACTTTTATGTGCTTGTTTGAGGCTTGTCTGGGTTTGGGTGCTTTGCTTTGTCCTGTTAATGGATGGTGGTTTGTGGGGGGGATGCCAATAGAAGGTCCCACTTCTGTTCATTTCCTCAATTGTTCTTATCTGTCTGTCTTGCTCCCTACTCCCTCCACTCAATCAAGCCAACAAATACTATGTATTGAAATATATTATTATTATACATAACACTCATGTGAATGGAAACTTAAAAACAAAGAAGTCAGTGACGTTCTTGGTATAATTAAAATTTTTAAAAATCAGTCATCATAAATAACCACGGTGTCATACCTAGTTTGAAGTGGGCAGCATTGCAAATTGCTGTAAGGAATATAGTCATGTTTCTATTTTGTCATTATCATAGATGCTTTTCAGTTTTTTAGTTCTGTTTACTTGTCCTTAAACATGAATGTAAGATTTATGATAGAGTAAAACAGGTGGTTGGCGAGTGCTCTGGTTCGGATTGCTCCTTCTTATTTATCAAATATCTATCGTTTTTATCTCACCTTCTTTTTTGTATTTGTTACTCTATTGTAACCCCTCTAATCTTTTGCAAGTGTCTTAAAACTATAACTAAAACCAGAATAATTTCTTTTCAGATATTTAAACCTGTATGAAAAAGTTCACTTTTTGGGGGAAGATGCTGATGTGAGAAACAATGAGGAGGAGGATGGCCCTGCCAGGAAAAAGATCTGTTTACCCATAGAGAGTATTCCTTTGAGCTACAACTACAACCAACACAGACTATCAGGTGAGTTGAGCTGGGAGAATGGAAACATTGCCGCCTTTTTGAGAATTGCTGCGTGGGGAAACTAAGAAAGTATTTTGCTTCTGTGAAATTTACTCCACAGGGGTTAGTAATTGTGGATCTTATCACAAGCTTAACAATGATATGCAGTTTATGAATCATTGTCAATCATTTGTTTGTTAATAAATTTAGTTGATGCCATCTAGTTTTTAGATGCTGTCTCGAGTTGCTCAGTTTCTTTTGATTACGTTGCTCAAGGATTTGGGTGTGGTTTTCTCTTCTGACTTTTTTGTTGCTCATGTGAGTTGTTTTGGTCTCTGTATTGTCATTGTGGCTATCCAGCTCCTGGCTCTTTTGTTTCTCTAATAGTTAACATCGAGTCTCAATTCTAAAGGAGCAAATGTATGTGTTTTATAATGTCATGATCTACCAAGCTTCCTTGAGCTAGGACAAAGAGTCAAAAAGGATTAGATTTGACCAGGAGTCTTTGCCACTGTTGTTTTTGTCCGGCTGTTTGCCCGTGTTGTCTGTGGTTTCTGTGAGTTTGGGTCCCTGGTTGCTGTTGAGGGTGTACACTACCTTTTCTGACACCTGTATTCTATTGTTGTATTCGATATATATAAACACCATATTATATTATATTTTATATATAATACATGTCTCCATTGTTGCATCAATGGTTTAGTGGTAAGGCTGTTAAAGACTGATTCTTAATCGAAAGGTTATGAGTTCGACTTGTATTACCTAATTGTGTTGCAAGTGCTGTAAAACGTTTACCTAAACCGAAAAAAAACCCCCCTTCACTAAAACTAGAATGGCGTATTTGCTTGCTATATTGATCAGATGCGTTGCGCCAACAATACAACCTGTCGATGGAGAAGTGTGAGCGGTCACCCTACCAGAAGTTGGAGATGTCTCTGCGCTCGGGACTGCCCAACGAAGTGGACATGGCCCTCAACGTGTGCGTCCTGCTGTCCACGGAGGGCAAGCACGTCATGAAATTGGCCAACACCTCACACATGTTGCGCCTACTCATGGCACATGTAGGCATCTTTGAAAATGGTAAGTGAATGCACCTGTGATACGTTGGAATGATTTCAAATATTTTTCACCACTGTTAGTTTGGTTTAGATTAATTTTAGTGGAGGGGGGGAGGTGTTGCTGCTGCTTCATTATTGCCTGAGGGAGCCCACTGGTGTAATGTTGGTACCTATCTTAGCAGAAAGATGAAGATACTCCATAAAGTATCTGTCACATCTTTTTCGTGCAAGACCAAGGGTGCAGACTGTCACATCTTTTTCGTGCAAGACCAAGGGTGCAGAGGAGATTTGAAAGGAAAAGTTGCACATGGAAAGCGACGTTAAGATGCAGGAGAAAGCTGTAAAAGAAGTTACTTTAAAAATTCTGATGTTTGTCTCTGTTAGGGTAGTAAGGTGGTAATTTTGGCTGTTACAGTTTGAAAGCTCTAAGTATATGTGCAGTGTTTTCTTTCTTGATATTTTTATTTCTGGTGGCTTTCTTATGGGATTGGAGAGTGAGAAAAAGTTTGTGACTGACATGTACTGTGCACTGATGGAAAATTTGTTGCTAGATAATTGTTTGACTAAGTTCTTTCTATGTGACTTTAAAGTTGACATTGCCACTTGATTTTTGTGTGTGGTTGGTGGGTTTTCCAGAGTGGTTTGCTCTTTCTTTCCTATCAAACATCTGTCATCTTTATCATGCCTCCTTTTCTTTGTATGTTGCTCTTTAGTTACACATCTAATTTGAGGTACTTATATGATCTATTTGTGTTGCGAATGCTGTAAAACTCACACTATAGCTAAAACTAAATTTGATTCTCTTGCCCATTTCTTGTACGTTCCAGCCTCCAGTGATCTGCAGGATCTTTTCCAGTACAGCTGGTCTAAGAACTCGGAGAGAAATTTCCTCAGGGTATGTACTACCTGATTTTTTCCACTTCTGATACGCGAGAACAGTCAGTATGTCGCCTCTTGTTTAGTGCTGGCATTATTTGTACTTGTTTGGTTTATATGATGTTAGTGGGTGGTTGGCGGGTGCTCTGGTGTGGTTTGGTTCTTCTTTCCTATCAGACATCTATTGTCCTTATCTCTCCTTTTTTTGTGTTACTCTCTTGTAACACCTCTAATCTTTGGCACTTATATGATCTTATTGTGTTGCAAGTGTTGTATAACACTTACTAAAACTTTTAAAAAACAAGAACATGTGTTTGTACCAAGTGAGTGGTTGGCGAGTGCTCTGGTGTGATTTACTCCTGATCTCTTCTCCTTTTTTTTTTGCGCTTGTTACTCTTGTAATATCTCTAATCTTTGGCACTTATATGACTTCTGTGTTGCAAGTGCTGTAAAGCGCTTATAAAAATAATAATTAGATAACCCACAAAGAAATCCCCAACAAAAAACAATGGAGGCATGTTTATGGTCTCTTTTGTTAGATGATTGACCTAATGTTTTAAAATTTCCCATGAAAAAGTCCATTGCCTAAAAAGTCCATTGCCTAAAAAGTCCATTGCCCTTAATCTGCTGTTGCTGTTTACACTTCAGGTGCATTGCTTAGTTGTTTGTTTTCTGCTTTCCCCAGTTCTGGTACGAGACGGTTGAGAAAGAGGAGATTAAGCCACTCATAACCTTCAGAGGTCGTCGCTATGTTCAAAGTAAGAGTCTACTTCTGAGGCATTTTTATTTTTTAGAATGTTTGTGATTTTTATGCCCCGAATTGACACAGTTTCAATCATTTTAGGAGACAGACTTCGAACCTATCAGTCAGGACCAATTGGGACTAGGAGGGAACATTCCAGCACAAAGACCTAAATACTCAATAAACGTTCTCCTCACTCACATTTAAAAAGCCACATTTCCACTGATGTGTGTGTGTGCACTGTATGTAGATGTATCTGTATAGAGATGGGTGGTATCACAGACTTTGGTGTATTAATGCTTTGTATGTGAATGTATTAATATCTCTCTCCTGCCCTTTTTGAACTCCCAGCCAGTGGAGCATAGTTAGTTACTTACTTACTACCCATTACGCCTTCTGCCGTTTAGGGCAGCAACAAAGGATCTCCAGCTCTGTCTGTTTTGGGCCGTCTTGGTCAGCGCTCCCCACGAATGATTCCAGGACTTCATTTCAGACTCTACTGTGCGTCTCCAGGTCACTTTGGGTCTGCCCCTTTTGCGACGTCCTTCGAGTGTCTAGTGGAGGGCAGTCTTCACAATAGAGTCTGGTTCTCTTCTCAGAACATGTCCTATCCATCTCCATCTTCTCCTTTTTATTATGGTGGTCATGTCCTCTTACCTACATTTACATAACAGATCTGTGTTGGATATCTTGTCGGGCCAGAAAAGGAAGATAGCTTGGCACGGTCATGGTCAGTCATCCTCCAGCATTCAGCTCCATATAGGAGTGTGGATAGTACACAGCTGTTATACAGCTTTAACTTGGTTTGTATACCAAACTGTCCTGACTTCCAGATGTTGATCATGCTTCTGTGTATAGATCTTGCCTTGCCGAGTCTGTTCATGCTGTCTTCCTTTGTGCCGCCGTCAGTTTTGACTATGCTGCCTAGGTAGGTAAATGTATCTATTGTAGGCAGGTCTGTGTTGTTTAACCTAATCGGCGTTGGAGAGCCTACATTCAGTGTCATCACTTCTGTCTTCTTCTGGCTTATTCTTAACCCAATCTGGTGTCCATATTTGTGGAGTCGGGTGTGTTTTTTACTGCATGTGCTGGTTGATATGGGAGAGTAGTGCAAGGTCGTCGGCAAAGTCAAGATCCTCGAGGGTGGAGAAGAGGGTCCACCTTATGCCTCTTGATGTATCCTGTTTTCCTCATGACCCAGTCAATGGCCAGGTTGAACAGAATTGCTGACATGTTGCATCCAGTGGAGCATAGGCCATCAACATTTCTCCAGCGAAGCCTGTCCTGTGCATCCTTTTCTAGCTGTTTCTATGATGTCTCCGCCTTTTCCATTTCCGATTCAGTAAAGAGACTGGTAGTATCACTCAGACACCGGTGTATGTGTGCTATGTATGTGTAGATGTATCAATATAATAATAATAATAATAATAATATTTAACATTTATATAGCGCATTTCCAAAAAGTAGCTCAATACGCTTTACATTGGAATACCCATTTTCAAAACCTTTCTTACTACTTCCTTTCTTGTCATGCAATATATATTTATGCACACACACACACACACACACACACATAAACACACACACACACATAAACACACACACACACAGACTATTTTCATCCAGACATAGGCACAGAACAACTATAATAAAAAAAAATAACGCTAAAAGCTTATGAAGGATAGGCCTGTAGGAGCAGAAAATGCTTAAGATGTCTTTTGAAGTGTCAGGTGTTCTTGTTTGTCTTAGTTACATAGGTACTCTGTTCCACATAAATGGACCAAGATATGAGAAAGATCTCTTTCCATATGATTTGTATGATTTTACAGGTGTCACAAGTTATCAGTGTTATTGTTTGATGATCTTAGATTTGTCCCTGGCTTATATATACTGATAAGTTCTTGTAGATAAAAAGGAGCAGTTTTATTTACACATTTGAAAGTATAGAGATGGGTGGTATCACAGACACTGGTGTATGTGCTGTAGATATATCAGTATAGAGATGGATATCACAGACACTGGTGAATGTGTGCTATGTACATATGTATATGTATCAGTATAAAGATGATGGTATGACAGACACTGGTGTATAGTGTATGTGTGCTATATATGTGTAGATGTATCAGTATAGAGATGGGTGGCATCTCAGACACTGGTGTATGTGTGCTGTGTATGAGTATCGGTATAGAGATGGGTGGTGTCACAGGCACTGGTGTATGTGTGCTGTATATGAGTGTCGGTATAGAGATGGGTGGTATCACAGACACTGGTGTATGTGTGCTGTATATGAGTATCGGTATAGAGATGGGTGGTATCACAGACACTGGTGTATGTGTGCTGTGTATGAGTATCGGTATAGAGATGGGTGGTATCACAGGCACTGGTGGATGACAATACAGGCTCAGTCCCTGGGCTTGCCTCTTATATGATCTATTTGTGTTGCAAGTGCCATAATGCTCTTATTAAAACTTTACAAAAATCTGTTTCCTCTTTGTTTTCAGAAGAGCTCGTGGGCAGCGAAGTGCTCAATGTTGGCCGGGATCTAGGCACGCTGGATTCTGAGGGCCAGCGAGTATTACAGGTGACTGTTGTTGTAGAGCAGGGGACTCGGAACTCAATCATTCAGGGGGATAAATGCAAATTAGACTGAAGGTTGTGGGCCGAATGGGATAAACACTCGTTTGGCAGTGGAAAACTAAGCCTTTTTTTTCCATTAAAGAAAAAAAAAGAAACAAACAAAAGATAAAGTAACAAATCAAGGCATACCAATGTTGGCTCTCATATCAATTTTTCAGAGCTAGATTGCAGCTGGATGGCTGGTGCTCTGGTGTTTTTTACTCCTACTTTTCCATAAAACATCTGTCATCCTGATCTTTCCTTCCTTTATGTGTTTGTTACTCTCTTGTAAGACCTCTAATTTTCAGCATTTATATGATCCTATTGTGTTGCAAGTGCCATTAAACTCTTTCACCAAAACAAGTCTCAGTGTGTTGTGAATGTCCCGCTGATTTTTTCTCCTGTGCTTTGTGTCCCTTATGTTGTGATTGTCCCAGTGTGTACCTGGGGAAGTCTGGTCATGGTTGCTCTGACTGGCAACAACTTGCAGGTAGAATGCAGTATTGTCATATCTGAGAAAAAGTATTGTTTTGAGGCAAGGAATTAGAGGCTGAGTTTTGTTGATGTAGATATGAAGAAATGTATGTTGACTTTTCAAGCCATTCAGGGAGATTCCACAAGTTCAGAATGAAAGAAAAGGTTCCTTACTCAGTTTTTGTAGATATGATTTTTACTTACTACTCATGAATCATGGTTCTTTCGCTTAGATTTGTCTAAGTGAGTGGAAAAAAAAAACAACTTTTGAAATGTAAATGATGTGTGACATTTGTATAATAAGAAATGAGTTTTTATATGTGTAATGTATCTGTGTGAAGGTTAATGTATTGCTTAAACACTTTTAATGTATTGTCTAAGCACTTATTCAAAGTCTTAAAAATGACGTTCATTTTCTTGTGTGGTCAACAGCTTGCAGTGTTCATTCACAACTTGTCCTTTGAGGAAGTGAATCAGAAGATTCTGGCTAGCAGTGCCATGGTTTTCAAGTAAGTTGACATTTTCTCTTGATGTGTGTGTGATTCCTGGGCCAACTAGTCCTTAGTAGCTCACGTGGAGAAACTCTGAGGCCTGATTCTCACATTGAGAAGGGTTACAGTTATTTTTGTATTGACATTGCGCTTACACACCTTTATGCTGTATTATGTTACTGACAACTGTATTTACAGTTGGTCATGCAATGATGTTAAAAAACCCCACTATAGAAACTTGAGTTCTTCTTGTTGATAAGAAGAAGAAAGAAACTATTGCTAGGGTAAGACACTGACAATTTTGAAATGACGACTGGAGTCTTTACGGGTACGTACTGGCCTCTTTTTAAAAAATCTAATTTGAGCACCCTTCCAGTGTCCAATAATTTGCTATTTATAATTTTTTTCTTGAACCAAACCCAATTTTTAAAGATTTGATTTTAATTCGTTTAAGATTCATTTGAACAGGGTAGAGTATGTCTTGTTGATTTAAGAGGAGAGTACAAGTGCAATGTTTGTTTCATTATTTGTCACATGTGGGGACTTGATTTTTAATTTTTAAAAATGAGAAGTGAATGTGTTTGTGGGGCTCCGGTGAGGTTTGCTTCTTCTTTCTTAAGAAATATCTATTGTCCTTATCTTTCCTTCTTTTTTTTTGTATGCTTCTCTCTTTGTACCTTAAATCTTAGGCATTTCTGGACAATACTTATGATATTTTTCCCCCCTTATGCAGGTTTCTGATACTAAGTCTGTACAGTACATATGATGGCTTACGTCAGCTGGCCCTGGACACTGTGGCTAACCTGTCGTGTGAGGTATGTCCTGTGTTATTCTTCAGTATTCAAATCTGATCTGTAGTGGGTGGTTGGCAGGTGCTCTGATTTGGTTTGCTCCTTTCCTCTCAAGCATCTATCATACTTATCTCTCCTCCCTTTTTTTTGTGTTTGTTACTCTCTTGTAACAGCTCTAATCTTTGGCTCTTACATGACCTTATTGTGTTGCAAGTGCCATAAAACTCTTACGAAAACTTTAAAAAAAACCTTAATGTTATTCTTCAGTGTTCTAACTTGTCTTGTGAGGTGCGTACTGTGTTTTCCTACAATGTTGTGTTTTACTGGACTTGACAGTGTACTCTTACACTTTCCCACTGGCTTTTGCCCTCTATTTACTGTGTTTGATGCTTTAGAAAATATTCCTGAGGGAAGGAAAACTTGTTGTATCTTGAACATGTGATTTTAACCCCCCTGAATTGCTTGCTTGATCATGGGGTGGTGTGGAGTGGTTTGCTCCTTCTTTCCCTTTAAACGTCTATTGTCCTATCTCTCCTCCTTTTCTCTGTATATTATTCTCTAGCAACACCTTTCATCTTCAGCATTTATGACATGTTTGTGTTGCAAGTCCTGTAATACTCCTACCAAAAAACCACAATTTGTCTTGCTCAGTTGGATCTGAATGCTGTGGAAGGTGTCAGTTGTCCCCTGATCGTGGATTTGTTGAACAACGCACTATTCTCAGAAGACAGGTTCCTGCTTGTGCGAGGTAAGGCCTGGAAAAAGTAGAGCACTGTTCTCCTCTTTTGGAAACCTGCGGAGAAAGATTACTTTATTTGTATAGTCTTACAGTTTGGGACAGGGATAAATAACTTTATTTGTAGATAATAGTTTTTATAGTTTTGGGTAGGTATAAATAAGTTTATGTGCTGTGTTTCGGTCGGGACAAGAACAAACGACTTAATTTGTTGTTAAAGTCTTACAGTAGAGGGGGAGGGGGGGATGTGTTGGGGATATTTTGAGAACTCTATAACTCAACCATGTCTATTAAAGGTGTTTTGGTAGTTCACTCTTTGATAAATGCTCTTATTTGAGCTATGCTACCGATTTATGTTTGGTATTTAATGATGATGAGGAAATTTTGAAAATGTTGAGAATGACGTGTTGGTTAATCTTGGTGTTAGTTCATTTCTTTGGTTGGTGCTTGCTATACAATTTCCCAGGCTGTCCTGAAGGGCAGGACATAACCCTCATTTCCAACTCCTGGCATAGAGTGACCAAGATTTGGAAATACGTCCTCATCAGAATCTCTTGCATTTAATAAAGGTATGCAGAAATGTTTGTGATGTGTGAGGTGTGGTGAACTGTTGTTACAGGTCTGGAAATTCTCAGCAAAGTCAGCCAGCTGGCGCGCAACGAGAGTGTGTTGGCGGAGAAGCTTCGGGAGGACACCTACGCTCGCCTGGTGGCACTGCTCACGGTGCAGGACATCCAGCTGATCGTGCACACGCTGGAGGCCTTGTACAAGCTCTCCAAGGTCGGCGAGCCCTTCACCTCTCGCATCGCTAAAGTGCACAAAGCCATAGGTGAGGACAAATGTCTTCTTATGTCTTTTCTCTCGACGAGTTTTCCTGTGTATTTACCTGATGAGCCAAAATGGTTTGTGGTAGTGGTTTTGCAAGATGAGTTGCCAGAGTTCTTGGGTGGTGTCTGTAGTCTTGTGGTTAGGCCACGACTTGAAATCGTGAGATTGCTGGTGTGGGACTTTGAGCCTCAGCTTGGTCTGACGTGTCCTTGGGAAAGGTACTTTACACAAATTTTCCCATTTGGCTCTGTCCTTTCAGAGATGGAAGTTCAGCTGGGAGCAGAATAAATTGAGAGGTCCTGCCTCTTAGATAACCTTTCAGTGGTGCAAGGGGCATGAACCTATACAACTTGGCACATTTCTCACTGAGAACTTGTCTTTTAACTTGTGATGGTGTTTCCATAGCAAAGTGTGTCTGGCAGTGAGGAAAAGGGTAGAGTGTTTGCTCCTAACACAAGTCCAGCTTCTACTGATGTGAGTTGGTGTTGAATACTTGTGTGGACCTGAGTTTTTTGTTATCATATTGTAATACATAGGGTACTCTTTTCAGAATGATCATGTGTGTGATTTATTGCATGGTTGTATTCAGAACCTTGATTTGGCTGGTGGTTGGAGGATGCCTCTCGTTGTTCCTACTTCTCTTCTTTCCCTCTGTGGCTTCCCAGGAGGTTGAGAATGTATGGAAGGAAAAGAAATAAAATGAGGTAGGGGTGAAAGAAGTCGAAGTGGGCAGCTCACTAATAAAAACAAGCCTTGAACATCGAGCTCCCACCAGAAAAGTTGACTGCAAACGAGGCAGGGTAGACCGAGGGTGACAGGGAAAGACCAGGACAGTATGGTTTTTTGAGAGCATTTGAGCTAAGAAATAAATAGCAAACCATGACCAATGATGTCGTGTGTCAGATGTGGTACTTGATGATGGTGATGTTGTTTCTGTGTGTCTTTCTTTCTCTGTCTGTACCTGCGTTAAGTGACATGGATGGTTGGAAAGTGCTCTGGTGTGGATTGCTCCTTCTTTCCCATCGATTTGCATTCTTTGTCTACTCTGGTGATATAATTATCAGTCAGAATGAATTTGGATGCAACACTAATTTCAAGGCACTTTCCAGATTAGCAGCTTTATTGCTTTTCTGGCATTCACCTTGTTACACTTGGTTATTCGGTTGTCTAAAATCCCATTTATAACAGTAACTAGGCCTTGTGTTGAAAATACAGTTTGACTAGTCTTACAGAAAACATGTCTAGTGCAGTGGAAACTTGACGTGTACAAGTTTTATTTGTGAAATGTGGTTGTACATGTAGTTATGTACTTGTTTTCTCAATTCACATGATATGAAATTATTAGGAAAGTAGTGAGTAACTTGGGGGGGGGGGGGGGGGGGGGGGGGGTTGGCTACAGTTATGATTTGGGGAATGTTCTGAGACTAGCCACCTTTCTGTGATTGGTCACATAAACCTTTACTTATATAGATTGATGTGAATCGTTTTCCTGAATGGCTGGTGTATATGATTTATGATCTTTGTTACATGGTTTACACAAACACTCATCTATTCACCCCCCGGGGCGGTGCCACTGACTGAAGTGTCTTTAGGCCATTCGCAATTCTCGTTCTAATGCACAGTAGAATTGTAAATTGGCTGATCCAACAATGTCCTGCTCATAACTGTGCCTGTACTTCAACAGGGAACTGCTGCTTTTTCTTTCCTAATCCTTACTATCGTCATTTCCTCTACTTCTTTTGTATGCTTGTCACACTCTTGTGACCTGCTATTTCCTTGGTGCCTTGATATTCGAGGCAAACTTTATGCTGTTGAAGTGAGAGAGGTGAACAGAGTAAGTCTGATTACCTGTAAGGAGTTCTCTGTTGACATCCACCCCTTGGCGCTCATATGACCGTATGCAGTTGTGAGCGCCGAAAAACCTCTACTAAACTTTCCCATCAATCATCTATCGTCCTCATCTCTGCCTTTTTTTGCGTGTGTTTGTCACTCTCTACTAACATTTTCTAGTCTTCAGCACTTATTTGACAAAATTGTCGAAAATTACTAAAATAAATGACTTTTATTGTGTTGATGTGCTTGATTGTCTTCACTCAAACTTTCAATTCTCTCTTCCAAATGACACAATATAGAGTGAAATCTGTTTTGTATTTGTATCTCCCACAGATACTTTAGTGAGCTTGATCACGATAGAGGCTCAGTCGTTTGGTCCCGGCTCCCTGGTGGGCATCAAGGTTGTGGAGTACGTCCCTCCCGCGACCGCTGCTCAGGAGGACGGAGAGTCGGTGCGCAGGCCCACCACCGTCATACAGCCCATCAACCCAGACTCTGTCAGTGAGTGAACGCATTGAACACATTTGTTTGTGTTTGTCAATGAGTGAATACATTTGTTTGTCTGTCAATTAGTGAACACATGTGCTTTGTTTTGTATTTGTTTTTGTAAGTGTGTTGGCTGGAAGACTCGCCTGGGTCAGTGATTGTCTTCTCAGAGAGGTTGGAATTCCGCCTGGGTACATGCTGTGAGAGCTTGGTGTGTGTTCTGGTTGGAGGATGTTATTGTTGTGAGGTCCCATGTCTGTTGTTTGCCTGCCTGTATCAAATGGAAATAATTTTTTTTGATTTGTGAAATTAAAATGCTGTACCAATATTTTTTTGGTTAGCTGGCCTGATGACAAGGGTGGGGGAGTTTGTTGTAACCTCAATACAATTTGTGTGTTGTCCTCCGCCAGATATCTACCAAGTGCCGTCCAGTGCGAAGAACCGTGTGGGGCTTGGGGAAGTACACGGTGCAGGAGAGCCTGGCGCCGGGGGTGAAAGTGGGAAGCCTGCGCCTCCGCCGCCGAAGGAGCCCATCACAGACATGCACGCCACCACCTCTAGCTGGTGAGTTTACCACTACACCACTTTTCACTGACATGTGTGGACATATAAATATACGCCACCACACAACATTTCACTGACTTGTGGACATGTAAAGTAATATATACTTGCTTGTTGTCTCTAAAACTAGGTCAGGTCTATAATAGAGGTTCTAGGACATGGAATTACAGCTTGTGCTTCTTCTCACTCTTACTAAAATGTAAATATATGGTCTTTGTGTAAAGCTGTCGTAAAGGGACATTTCATTTGGGTCTTTACAAACATAGATGGGAAAAGTCTCAGCAATTAAAGGGTTAAAGTGTTGTTTTTGTCTACCATGGATACTAATTTTTGTCTGAGTTTATATTGCCCTTTCAGACTTGACACATGTCATTTCAAAAACAAAATGCTCATTTGGAGGAGAGCAGACTTGCAAAGGAAATGGGCAAAACAAAAAGATGAAACCCTTTGTCTCATATTGCTTGGGGGGTACAGCCTTTGTACTGTCTCACTGGGGCGGGCACAGCCTTTGTCCGGTCTTATTGGGGGTACAGCCTTTGTACTGTCTCACTGGGGCGGGCACAGCCTTTGTCCGGTCTTATTGGGGGTACAGCCTTTGTACTGTCTCACTGGGGCGGGCACAGCCTTTGTCCGGTCTTATTGGGGGTACAGCCTTTGTACTGTCTCACTGGGGCGGGCACAGCCTTTGTCCGGTCTTATTGGGGGTACAGCCTTTGTACTGTCTCACTGGGGCGGGCACAGCCTTTGTCCGGTCTTATTGGGGGTACAGCCTTTGTATTGTCTCACTGGGGCGGGCACAGCCTTTGTCCGGTCTTATTGGGGGTACAGCCTTTGTACTGTCTCACTGGGGCGGGCACAGCCTTTGTCCGGTCTTATTGGGGGTACAGCCTTTGTACTGTCTCACTGGGGCGGGCACAGCCTTTGTCCGGTCTTATTGGGGGTACAGCCCTTGTTAGGAATTGAAATAACAAGACAATATACAAAATGGAATAGATGCAGGATATTTGACTAAAGTAAAAGATTCAACACATTTGCACCTCTTTTGTGTGAAAATGTTTGGGTATGCCAGGTGTCCTGTGCCTGCTATGATCAAATGTTGCTACCCTTGCTTCAATGCTTGAGTTTTGCTGTAAGTTCAGCCCAGCATGACAGCTGTTGCCTTTTTACCTTTAGTGTGAGTAGAACGACATCTTCACAATGAAATTGTCCTTGTGAGGAATATGTATCATTCAGATCTCTCTTAAAGCATTTTTTCTTCCGTTTCTGTGTATGCTGACCTATCTATTTGTGAAAATATTTCAGGTTGAACGCCACTTTTGAAGTGAAGAAGAAGAGCAAAGTGAATCAAGTTGAACTTTTCTCAGACTACTTACAGTTTTGCCGGAAGTTTGCTCTGAACAATCCCATGTCTTCAGCAGAATTTTTGCACTTGGTCAAGTAAGTAGTACAAATTTAAATGTTGAAGAAAGCAATTGTGTAGTTATTTGATCTGGTCTTTGTTGTAAAACAGGTATGGTTAAGTGTGTCCAAGTTGCGGGCCTCATCAATCACGTCTGAATATCTCACAAGTCAAAGCAAGAGAAAATGGGGGTAAATCTGTGGTGGAATTGGGGTTCATCAATTTTTGGTCATGCTGAATTATTGGTTATAATCATATAGCCTATTCATTGCCTTGCTTTTGATGAAAAAAAATGCTCATTTATCTTAATGCGCCCTAAATTAATGTTGAGATATATCCGATTGAATAAGGTAGGGATAGCCTGGAGTCGGATGTAAAATAAATGAGAAAGTGGTTGTCAAAGTTTGCTGGTTTTGAAAGCTTTGGTGTCCTTGGAAACTGGAAATTTACATTTTATATTAAAGATAGAAATGTTGCTGAGACTTCATCATGTTCACCCCCCC